AAGAGTTTCGAGTCAGTCTACTGAAACAAACTGTCTTAGATCGATGTTACGGATCGATCCTTCCTTCCAGGATTCTCCCTGTAAACGAACTATCGCGATTTTAGATAGCCCTTCTACGTAAAAATGGGATTCTACGTGAAGATAGTAGAAAGGTGCTCGCACGGGACTCTTTTACAGCCCGTTGAGAAAAGAGTGAGAGAAAAAACACCACGGAAAACAGGTAACATCCGGTGGGAAGATTTTCTTCTTTTTGAAATCCCTCGAGGTAAGGAAAAGCTTAAGATTAACAAAGGATTGAACGAAAAAAAAAAAAAAAACGTTCAACAAAATCAAGCAAACGATCGTTGGATTATTTTGGTTTTAATCACGATTATTTGAAATTTTGTTGTATAAGATAATGTTGTTTCGGTTAAATTATGTAACAGAGTGTCTATTATAGAGTTTAAAAGATAAAATGGAAGAAGAAAAACGAGTAAACACGTATACGATAACCGCGCATTGATAAAAATTTCGATAACAGGTCATTAGAAAAATGTATAGCTTTGCGAAAAATGCGATAAGCTTTACACAAGCTCAGTTTATTCTTCATTAAAGTCCGTTATGAAAAAAGCAGGTTATTATAATACCTTGTTATAAATATCGTATTTTTCGTTTTTTTTTCTTTTTTTTGAATAATTTGAAATTGGTAAAAAAAAAAAAGTAGTCGTCGATGACGTTGCCAAAAAATAGGATTAAACGTCGAAAACAGATAATAAACGATACATTTTCTTTCGAATACCGTGGCTTTTATCGATATTTGTCTGTCACTTCTCTTGTCAAACTTTGTTGAGATACATTTTTCTGGATTAAAGAAAACGAAGAGTGATATTATATTATAAAAAAAAAAAAACAACAACAGCAAATATCAAGTATACTATACATGTATCTACACTTTTGATATCACTAAAACGATTGATATAAACTCATAAATGTTATCAAGCAAAATGATAAATTTCAATATATGAAACATCAACATTTCAATAATTATCTATAAATGACAGAAATGTTATAATCAAAGAAATTGGTAAGTTTACTTAAGAATAGATACTTCGTTTTCTTTTCGACAAGTTAATAACAAATTGAAGAATGTGTGTAAAACGAATAAAATCGAATTGATCCTTCATACAATCTCCGAGTGAACGATATCCGATGATTCCCGTTCGCCACAGGACGACGTTATTTCCGGCCGACGGAAAAGAAGAGAAGATTACGTGAAGGAGTCCGTTTAAGGGTGGTGGGCGTACCACGAAAGTAGTATGTTATATGTATTTAAATAGATAACCAGTTTCGATAGGAGTTGCGTGGGCTTACCTCCTTCTCCTTCATAGTTTTACTTATCTTTTATCTTCTCACATCTTTACTAGGATATCGCTTGCCTTGTTAATTCAATCTCATTTGTGTTTCTATCTCTTAATCCTTTGTGTCCTCCGTATGTAATTTACAATGTGTGACATACACAACCAATGGATTTATATACGGAAAAGGAATGACTAATGTCTCATTTGCATTTTGCATTTTGCGTGTGATTTTGTCACTGAGTTTATATTCCAGTTTATTAATAATGTAATATACAGTCGCAGCCACACTACCACCACCACAGACAGAAGCATTACTGTCACTGTCATCGTTCGGAGTATATATGTGTTGCGGTCCGTCATATACACCCACTCTAGTTAACTCCATCATGTGTGCTTGTTGCGTGTGCGCTTGCGCTCGTTACGCTATAGTCGAATACCAAGTATTATTAATTCCTCTCTCTCTCTCTCTCTCTTTCTCTCTCTTTTTCTCTCTTTTCCATCCTCTTGTTCTCTATTTTCGGCTCGTTTTTTTTTCTCGTCGGTTTGTTTGTACTAAGCGCGTGCGAGATTAATTTCAACTGAACGTGATGTTACGACTGGTAGTATGGCATGCCAAAAGGATCGTAGAAGCTTCGCGTACAAAGGTAATAAAGTATTATTAAAAAATGCGCATATTGGTCGCTTGTATCGATGCTATCTGTAATTGGTATACCGTGGTCATACAGTTCAAATTTATTGGGATTATTTTTTATCATCCTTGTCATGTACCATATCGCTATTGTCAATCCAATTATTTACCTTTTCTTTTGTATATATTTGATAAAACAAGGACTAGTTTATACGTTATCGGAGACGTTTGACAAATTAAAGAATTTTCGCACGAGATTTCTGTAATAAAGTAATATAATTGAGTATTATTTTATGCTACTCTTATTAGATTATCATCGTGTTACAATTTTTCACAAATTTCAAATAAAGCGTGTGGTTCAAAGGTAGATATAGTGATATTTAAAGAATGAGATTTTTGAAAGAATCTTGCAATGTCGAGTGATATCGAAAATACTTTTTCTAATGATATTACAAATGTGTATCATTAAACTGTAATTATTCAATGTCAAAGAATACTCGATGGTTGGTAGTCTTTCGTTTGCATATTTATAACTAAAATGTAAACAAAAAAAAAATTGTTTTATTATAAAATCTTTTTTCTCCGTGTTGATAAGAACATTTCTTTCTATTAAGTGAAAATGAAAGAAAGAAAGTAACTACCATCAAATATAATAATACGATAAAACATGCATAAGTCAGTAACGAAATTTTGGAAATGTGATTTATTCGAATTGAGCGATTGAATTACGAGAAAAAAAAAAAACAAAAGAGGAAAGATGATAACTGCTATAAAAGTCTAACGAAGTGAAGAGTGTCGTGAATAAGAATACTAAAAATTTCGAACGTTCGGAGAGTATGACGATGTAGATGAAAAAAATGTAGAAAAAAAGATTGGATATGGTAAAAGTAACGAAATACGATCGTCTATAAAAATATCATAGGCTCTTTCCATACCATAGGTAATAATTCACAATCGAGAAAAGTCGAACGGATTTTCTGTCCAGTTTCGCGGTGCTATGTTCGATATTCATGCGAAATAGAACACATCCAGGATGGCATCGTTTCGAACGACGTTATGCGTTTTATATCTTTCGGAATTCAATGCCACGTGAATGATAAAACCAAAATAAAAAAATAAAAAATAGAGTAAAAAATAGTGCAGAAAAAAAAAAGTAGAAGAGAAAAGACGAGATTTCTCGACCGTCACGATTTTAACGCAAGTACAAGCGAACGAACCATCGTGAGGAGGAGGAGGAGGAGGAGGAGGAGGATGGAGGAACAAGAGAAGGGAAGAAGATTTATAATGTATATACCGACGAATAGGAACCGAATTCTCCCCATCGCTTGAAAATCCTGCCTCTCTTTCACCGACTTTTAACGCTACTACATTCTACTTGTTTATCTTTTTTTCCTCCCCCCCCCTTCTTTTTCGATCTTTTTTTCGAACAATACGTTGGCACGATTAATCTTCGTATTTTACAAAAAAAAAAAAAAAAAAGGAAAAGAAAAAAAGAAAAAAAGCTCTTCCTCGCGTTAAGTCACACGCACAGAAACCCACCTGCCGAGTTAACTCCCCTACCCTCTTTTTCTCTTCCTTTCGTTTTTCTCGTTACCTTTTTCCTTTCTACTTTTCCCCTATCAGTTAAAATTCTATCATTGATCACATCGTTTGTCTTTTTTTTTTCTTTTTTCTTGACAACACAACAACGTTGCTACATCATTCCGTCCAAAATGATGTCCATTAACTTATATATCATATATATATATATATATGTATTTTTAAATTATCGATTAAATCAAGTAGAAATGTTATTAAAAAAAAAAAATGAGATAAATCTTAAAAGAAGAAAATAGAAAGAAAAAAGAAAAAATGAAGACAAGATTTTCGTCGTAAATAGCTATGTCGAAGGAGATTGCAAGCTTTGCCAAGTACCATTGTAACGAGCTTTTTATGGTGAATGTATGTAGAGAAAAAACGTGACTTTTTCGAGCACGTGCCAATCTAGAAAAGATGCGGATTTTAACCCTTAAGATTGCTTCAGGTACTGTTTACTATTCTGAGATTTTTAGAGTATGCTATTCATGAAATGCGAACTACTTATCTACAATCGGATATTAACATCGTAAATTATCGAATATGATATCGAAATTTAGAGAAATCTTGAGCGCACGTACGTATATTATCATTCGTATGATTTTGCTTTTGAACAAAACGTGACACAGATATCGCTTTGATCGTTAAAGCGATTAGAACAATCGCGAATTCGATAATAAGATTTAGAGAAGTTAAAGATTTAAAGTTTCCTAGATAAACGCTAAATTTGAGAGAGAATTTTATTGGATCATTTATCAAACTTGTTAAAAATTATTTTTCATTACGTTTAATACGTATATTATTCTAATATATTAAAATGAATCTTTTAAACTTAATGTTATAATTTGATTTTAAATTAATTTAATGTTCATGCAAAAGGTGATTTTTTTTATTTTTTTTTTTTTAAATATAATAATTATATTACCACTTTTGTATGTGATACATGCAAATTTATGACATATTATGGAAAGTTCATTTTAAAAAGGTTTTACGATACGAGCTACTAATATTTGTGCTCGTGTCAAGTGTAAAGTAGAAACGAGTAGGTACTATTGCAGACATGAATTTACCGAGGTTATATTTGCCGAAAGAATATCCGTTGGTGTGCATATAATAATAAAACATTATTAAAAATTTTTATACGACGTACTGACTCTCCAAGGACATCCGACAGTAGCGGACATTTATGAGTAACTTTCCAAGTGAGAAAGGCGGAAACGTATTTTTGTTTATAATACATTCTCATTATACTTGCATTATTTCAGTATTATTTTTAATAATTTCGTAATTGCATTACACGTGATATATACATATAAGATATATCTTATATAGTAAGATAATATATGTATATTTCATGAAAAATATAAATGTTATGATAGAAATCGTATATAATCATAAATTAAAGTTAAACATGAAATTGATAAAAATATTAAATAGAAAAAAATAAAGTAATAACTCACAAGTGAATACCGACGGTGGATTACTTTCTGCCCACTTGGTTTTTTCTGTAAAAGAAAGAAAAAGAATAAAGCATAAATAACATAATATCAAGCAAGAAAAGATCTTCTTTAAAAAAGAATTTCCTTAATTTTATTTTAAGACATAAAACTAATTCAAAGTTCTTAACCACGTGTGTATATATATATATATATATATATATATATATATACACTTATCCTTATTCCGAAGTACTTATCTAGCTATGTCTAATTAAACTTAGGCCGCTTGAAGAATATTCAATTAGTATCGATAGCAGATACAATCAGTCCTGTGATTTGCCATTAATTAAATGTTCGTCTTTGGTGAAGTAGAAACTCTAATTGAAGTGTAAGAACTTTCGGTAGTTTCGTTCTAGGAAAACCACACGCTCTTAAATTAATTAACACAACAAGGAATCTAAGCTAATCAAAAAGTAAATCATTTGAACGATTTCGTGTGAAATTTTTTTGATAACATTTATCATATTCTTATCAAAACTATTCTTCACATTTTACTATTCAGTTCTATTATCATTTAAAGCAGATTTAAGTACTTACTTTGTCTAAGTTTAGCTAACGAATTCGTTATAATCGCATTCAAGCTTTCTCTCACGGGTGCAACGGCTTGCAAAGTAACAAACCTACCCAAAGAACTGATCGAAACTCCTAGAAGACTTGCCTCTCACCAAAACGGATGGTAAAGCGGGGGAGAATAACTTCGCAAGGTAATCGTCACAGATAAATCGGATCTCGCATTTAACGATGTCCTTAATTACACGGCCAACGAAGAGCAATGTTCGATTTCTCATCGGAAGGCAGATGAGTTTCTTGCCAAGTTAGCATGCAATGTAAGCTTTTGCGCTTTAATGCGGTCGACAAAAGATACTTTTCAATTCATCTCCAAGTGACATCTTGGAAAATTGACGATCGAATGTTTTATTTTATGTAATTATCATCCATTCATTTGATATATGGTACATAAGTGAAATGAAATATTTACGTTATAAGAATTCATGCGTTATTTAAAATTTCTCCAAACTTTATTAAAAAAATAATTAAATTGTTCAAAGGACTTCAGATCAATGCATTTTCGATGAAAATTGAAATTTGATGAAAATAGGAAATACATTATGTTCTTGCTTTGGACAATCGGATATAGTTATTTTGTAAGTAATCACAAAATCAGAAGTGATCTATTCAGCTATTCAAATTGCATCGTTGAATCATCAAACTAGCAGGCTATATAGAGTTATGTAGTTTACACGAAAGATAGATRGATCATGTAACATTTACTTTTACATAACATAAACTGATAATAGCGGTAATAAAGGAAGGTTCACAAAAGTGAATGATAGTTCGACTAATACATTATAATTTATTTAATAAAACATTATAATTACGCGTTTAATATAGATTACAAATTCTTATAGTTCATTGGATAATATACTAAAAAAAAAAAAAAATCAACATTTTGTATAAAAAAAAAATACGATAAAAAAATTACAAAATTATTCTCCATTGATAAACATTAAAGACTTTGATAGATGATTATAAAAAAGTATCTTTTTAATAATTCATCATATGTTTTTCTATAATTTTTATTTGAAAAGAAAGAAGTAGCATAATTGAGATTCCTTATTTTTTTTTTTTTTTTTATATATAATTTGAAAAAACTTTTAATCAATAATCTGTAGAAATCGTCATACGAGCAGAGAAAGGGCAGGTTCGCAATTTCCTCCTATTAACGTCTTCGGGCCAATCTCCGAAGTTTCGCCGAGAAATTTAATTATTTCGTATATAGAGAACGTACAGAAAGAGAGAGAGAGAGAGACAGAGACAGGGATGAAGGTAAAGAACAGACCATTTTGAATTACGACGGATGCGAAAGATGTGCTTGGCACAGAGCCAAACCGTTTTCCCCAGTGCGATAAGCAAATCTTCCATAATGTGAGCTAAACTTGAAAAGGAAGAAAAAGAGAATAAGAAACGTGGAATAAGAGGAAAAAGAAGAAGCAGAAGTAGAAGAAGAAGAAGAATAAAAAAATAAACATGGATATGCATAGGATGAAAGGGAAAAAATAATCAGACAAAGAATGTAAAAAAAACAAAAAAAAAAAGAAAAAAAAATTACTTGATAATACCAACGATTTTGACAAGAGATCAAAAGAATTTGGAAAATATTCTCTTTTACGAAAGCCGCTTAAACATTATCGCGAGATTATCTTTTTATAGTCAATTATAATCATTTTAAAGAGCACGAGAGAACGTAATATTTTAGTTTAAACTGTTTCATATATAAATAATAAAAATGTATTCTCAAAGAACACAAAAATTGTAATAAACTTATTATAAAAACGAATAAATATCCCGTAAATATTCTTCCTTTTGTTATATAAAGACGTAATAAAAAATAATAATAAGAATATTAAAGAATATTTTGTTATTTTATGTAATGATATTTAAAAAAACTTATCTCATAAATACAAAAGAAAAGCAAATATGTTAATAAATGTGAATATTTTGCAAAGCTTAAGCCGATTAACAGAGAATTAAAGAACAATTATTCTAATTTAAACTAAAGTAAAATAGCTTTGTAAAATAGTACTTATGATAAATATTGTCTACGAATATAAAGAAAAAAAAAAAAAAAAGTAAGATACAAAATTATAAAAATACAGTCTTACATATATTTCCTTGGTGACAAAAATACTATGAAGAATTTGGCGAAAGAGATTACTTTANTACAAAAGAAAAGCAAATATGTTAATAAATGTGAATATTTTGCAAAGCTTAAGCCGATTAACAGAGAATTAAAGAACAATTATTCTAATTTAAACAAACATCATATAGATGCTTTATTAAAGGAAATTGATGAACTTACATTGGCAAAAAAAAAAAAAAAAAAAAAAAAGTGAAAAAGTAAGATACAAAATTATAAAAATACAGTCTTACATATATTTCCTTGGTGACAAAAATACTATGAAGAATTTGGCGAAAGAGATTACTTTAAATCGAGACAAACGCAAAGACGTTTATATAATAAAGACTTTAATAACTTCTTGAGATTTCGTGAATCTTCAAGTTTTCTTACAACGTTCGCCCTGATTACGAAAATCTTTAGGCTTCAAAGTAAGTACCCAAAGTTTTCTTATCCGATAATGCTTGACGATTCGAATTCATAATCCGCGTGCCTGTCACTAGACCAGCGTTTAAAACTTCATCAAAAGTTGCCTTGTGAAAATACTCGAATCGAACGACGGAAGTTCCTTCATTTGTCATAGACCATTCATTCAAAAATATTCGATGATCGTTTGGAAATGTCGCCGCCTCTTAAAAACCGAAAAGTCATAAACCTCCATTTCCTGCAAATAACTATTAAAATATTTAAAAAATCATATCAAATTAATTGAAATTAAAAAGGATAGATCTTGTAAATATTACAATAAATTATTGTAAAAATGTTTAAACGATGATATGTTAAATATTGATATACGTTCAATCAAAATGAACGATAATTGCGCGTGTAACTTGGCAATTTTCACCTACGGCTCGATAAAGGTTAATTTAAATCCATTATTCTTTGACATTTCGAAGATATCATTAATCTAGTCGTGGCTTCGTAAACCACGTACTTAAATATTAGATATCCGATATATTATATCGGGACCGGTGGTAAAAGCTGTACCATGGAAGAACGGAACGGTGAAAAACAATTTGTTACATGTCAAACGCAGTTTCATTTTTAATTTTCCCGAGCTGGTACAAAACTAAAAAAAAAAAAAAAAAAAAAAGAAACCAAGAGAGGAAACAATTCGCCGATAGAAGAAAAGAGTTGGTTAGGTATGTGAGTACTGTGAAAAGTATTAGCTTCGATGGGGAAGCCTCTTGCGTTGGAGTAAAACTCGCGATAAAAGCAAAACCACGGGGAACCCATACTGCTCGATATTAAATGCAAGAATCTTCTCATCTTTATTTCTCTCGTATTTAAATGCAGCTATTCGTCTCACTCAGTTGGAATTTAAATGGCTACTTAAATAATATTGTTCTAAATCTCCCTCTTTCTCTTTCTTTCTTTCTTTCTCTCTCTCTAACTTTTCTTGAAAATAATGTAATTTCTTTCTTAAAGTAATTGTGTAAAGCAAACAAAGAGAAATATGTACGTTTTAATTCTACAATATTAACTAACAGTCATTAAGGTCGTAAGAGAAAATTTATAGCAATTTTTTTTTTTTTTTTTTAGTTTAACAAAACAAAATTGGTAATTAATGAATTTAAAAATCTAACATATTTAAAATTGATACCAATTAGTAATAATAATTAATATATTTTTCTATATATTTGTACGTTATCTGTATCCAATCAATAATGTAGTTTCAAATGAATTTCAAGTATATTTATGTGCTTTTTCCATAGTTTGTATAACTTTTTCAAAATTCGATACTTTCTTATAGTTGAATATAAGTTTTTAGCATTTTTCGATTCATAAAGATTGTTATTTGGAATTGTAGAAGAAAAAAATCGTCTATTATTTAGAATCTTTCACGATGGAAGGTTAATCGAACCAGTAAAGAAGATTCGAGAGGTTTAAAAAGAGAACTTAACTCTCGACCAACTGGTAATAAAGCGGCTTACTTACTTCTTGGCCGACAGCATCACGATGCCCTGATCGCACCGCGAAATTACCAAAGTTACCGGTGCTCTATCCTTAATGCACTTTTCCAATCTGAGATTCACTCCTTCTCCTTTTACCTATAAGTTCGTCTTCGATTGAAGAAATAAAAGTGATGATCTTATAGACGTCTATCTATCTAACCGTATCTTTGAAAATCAAAACGATTATCCGAAGCCACAGATCACGAGAACAAAAATATGAAATTTTATTTTATCTTAAAAAAAAAGAAAAAAAATTCAATGTATTCTAATTTAATATAATTATAACTTTTAATATAATTAAAATAGAGAATTGTTGTTTAGAAATAACATTTCACAAGTTCATTATTAAATTTTCTAAAGAAAACAAAATATGG